AAATGAATATCAAAAGTTTATAAAGGTAAATGCTTATATTTTATTTGCCATTTTCTCTAGAACATCACTAACTCTAGCTATTATTATCAACATACAGTGCAATGAAATGTTTAAAATTAAGAAATATGTACATACCTTTTAACTCTTCATTGATTCGTCTAATAACATCGTCTATGATTCACATGCATAATTTCACGTCTTTATCATAACACTTATGATTTATTTTAATGTTTTATTTTCCTCTCCTGTTCTTTATCTTTGATTATTTATGTCAACACACATCAATAAGTGGCTGCAGGTGATGTTACGGTAACTTCGGCTATTGGGTTTAGCCCCTCCGGCATAATATTTCTTACACGCACAAGTGTCTCAAAACTGTTTTAGCTATTCAAAGTATAGAATAATTTAAAAAATTATTAAACCTTTCAAATATAAATCTTAAAACACAAATAATACATAATTAACTAAAATATAAAAGAAAACTCTAAATGCAGTCTGTCTGTCAAACTAATACATATAAGGTGAGAGAAAATTGCCAAGCACTATGGCCACTGCTCTCAACAATGAACTTAACCTCATTTTAACAGCATTGAGAGCAGATCTATACTATATGTTTTGTGTAAGAATAAATGGCTTTGAAGGGTGAAATCTGTTTTTCTATTGGTTATAAAAATGCCATTCAACTTGAAACAATCTAAGCAACCCAGCTTCTACTTTGCAAATTGGCATGACATAGCTTGAATTCAAAAATGTCTATACAGATTTGCTTTTGAAGTCAGTACTAGGAATTTGTGTCAAGTTACTGGTAAATGAACTGTGTGTACATGTAGTTTATTACCAGCAAGAAAACTGTTGTTAACTATAGTCGTTTCTTGTATAAAGTATAAAGTTCAGTTGCTGTAGCCACTTGCATTTCAAGTGAGAGCAAACATGAAATTTTAATTATTGTTTTAGTAGGTTCTTTTGAAGTAAAGGAATAAAACTTTAAATAATATAAGGCTTTGGATCATAACATACTGGATAGTGCTAATTTCATTAAAATACATTGATAGTAAAGTGGTTTAATTAAATTTTGAAAATATCTCAGTTACACTTTGTGACATGTGCAGAAAGGGGTTTAAAAATGGTACTGGAGAAAAAAAGGGTTAACATTCTAAATATGAGTAAGTAAAAGTACACATGTTACAACCTTTTACAGTTACTTTCAGAATTTAATGAAACTTCTTTATTATCATTGATTGGGATTCAATGTCATCCTTTTTGCCCTTTCCCTACCTCCTTTTGAACCTTTGGCTTCATGTTCCCTGTATCATCTTTCCTTCTCCTCCTGACTTGTGATTATCATAGGACGGACCTTTTTTACAATAATTTTTTCTCGTTCCCTTTATTATAGTACGTATATTGTGCTATACTAAAACGAAAATTTCTTCCTTACCAGCACCTCAGCTGCCCGTGAGGGCGATTCTGCCTATGCACCCAACTTCATCTCTTCCATTTCCTATATTTATTCCAGGTCAAATCCAGATCACCTTCTGTGTCCTGTGCAGGATCTGCAGTGCTATGTGGTTCGTACATCTTCCTTTCATGGTTCCCATTCCTGTTTGTTTATGCCCTGAAACTCTTCTGTGTCACACATGACCTCTCTTTATCATCCCTATGGGTTGAGTTCATTAGTTTATTAGATTGGCTTACTCTTCCCTCTCCTTGGAAGGTGTCATCTTTATCATGTCTCTCCTCATCAGATTTGGCATATCATCATGTCTCTAGCGGCCTGTTTTCATCGTCCTCTGGAAGAGATCATCCAGGCTGGAATGTGGACTACTCCCCATACCTTTTTTGCTCATTACCTACACCAGCTGGCTGTGTCCTTGTCTGGTGGATATTGTTTACCTCCTGTGGCAATACATGCACTATTTCGTCTCTAACTTGGGTGTCTTTTTCTGTTATGGTTTTTTTTTCAGGGCCTCTTCAATATATATTCAAATCACACTCAATGGCAAGTGCTGCCTGGTCAAGTATGCTTGCCTTTAAGCCTGCACTAGTGGCTTATCTAGTGGTATATATATATATATATATATATAATATATATACATATATTCCTCCATATGTAGAATTCTGACAAGTACATGGTGGATTGTCACTCATGGTTTATCATGAGTAAAGCAGAAGGGGATTGCTACCCATCCCTGGTGTAACTTTGATTGAATACATCGGGAGTAGTCTGCTTTTCAAAATAGGGTTTCGTGATCACCCATTGCACTTTCTTCAATGTAACATTCCTCCAGACTCCCCAATGCCTTTTACCCCCTCCTTTCTTGAGTAGAGTTTGGGGGTCCTTGCTACTTTCCTTTTCCTAGCTGGTGGGGTGGTGGACCATGGAGGCTTTGTCATGAGTGTAGAGCACACATCATAACATTACATATCACTCCACTACATTGAGAAGAGGGCAAAGCTAGGAACTCTCCTTCATTCTATCCCCTGGAGGTTTAATCCCAGATGTGCTGATGTTGATGAGAGTTGGACCAGGCAACACTGGACCCTCTTTGTAATACTGGGTATAGGTAGACAGTCCCCTGTTCCTATGGTTGTGACTAGTAGATGCCCTTCTTCTTGGTAATTTCAGTTGCAGGATGTTTCCTTTTCTTGCTCTTATGGTTGAGCTCTTTGTCTGCCTCGTAATAAGATCACCTGTTCCTATGGTTGAGCAGGCATTTCACATCCTCTTGGTAATGCCAGGTGCACGATGTTTCCTCCCTGCTCTTATGATTGAGTTAGATTCATTATTTTTCTGCTTGTAATACCAGGTACTGGATGACTCCCTGTTCTTACATTTGAGTTGAGCCCAGTAAGTCTGGGTTCGGTTTGTTGTACTTCCTGTCTCCTATGGTTGATTTGGAAGTTTGTCAGGCAGATGCTATCTGCATATTTCCTCATCATAATTCCAGTTGCTTGCAGTATAGCACTCTGTTTACTTACAGGAGAGGTTGGTGTATATATTACTAATGGCCCACTTGCCCTGGCCACCATACACTCTGTATACTGTTTTTAATCTTATGAGAGGTCCTCTGCCTCGTAATACCAATGATGGGACGTGGAATTTTTCCGGTATGGTTGGGGTTGAGCAGATACCTAGCAAAGTCACCTTGAATGTCTCCATCTACCTGATTCCGTGAACTGGTTGTTGGCTTTCCATTTTTTCTGTGTGGGTTTGGAGTTACCTGTGTCCATTTTTTCTTTATACTACTTGTTACTCTTATCCTACTGGATTCCATTTGTTTTTGGTCAGGTATGTATGGTTGATGATGCAGTGGGGCTCATGTTGATTAATTACACATTAATTACATTGGTTTCTTAGGTCTTTCTTTTACTAGCTCCAGGCCTCGGTACTACCCATATCACAACACTCAATTTCTTTGAAGGTGAAAAGCATACCTGTTCCAGAAATGATGTGGTCCCCCTCGTGTGTGCTTCCATTCTATTACAGAGCACATCTGTTCAATTTTCTACAGATGCTTTCTGAAGGTGATCTCTTGTTTTATCTCGCAACTGTCCCTCCACCTACTCAATGTGAGATTCTAGCTTTGTGTGAGTGAAGGTATGTATTGTATGGGAAGTTATCATTTTTTTACAATGAAAATAGATTTCCAATATATATTTACCTCTTTTCACCCTTCCTCTCCACTTCCAGTGTTCTTCTGTTTCTTGTAGGCCTCATTTCAAAAGTGATGTTCACATAAAGTTGTACAGAGGGAGCCAGGTGCTCTAGGAGGGTGTGTGTCGTGCTCCTATTGATGGAGGGTTGTCTCATGCTCTATGCATGCTAAATGATCTGTTCAAACATAGTGGGGGGGGGGGTATAAAGGCTAACGAGTCTAACAAGAAAATTTCTTTTCAATGCATTAGAAGGCAGTGGAAGATTGAGAAAAGCTGTTGTGTGAGTAGAGGTATCTGCTGGAAATCTATTTCAGTTTAAAAAGATTATAATTTTCGAAAAATGTCAGTAACTCTCCCTGACACTTGCTTTTACATTTGTAATAATTAATATAATGAGAAGATTTTAAGTTACATATTTATGTATAATGCTAGCTCATTATCATGACAGCTTTTTAATTATTCAGCATATAGTTTCAAAGTTGAAATTGCCAAGTTCGGCTTGACCAGCTAAGGGAATTATTTCAAGGCACTCAAAGCTTAGCTAGAAAGCCAGTTATACTTGTTTTAGGACATCGTGTGCTTTGTGCATTCCATTATTATTTTCTAAATTGAGTATTTAGAATAAATACAAATTCTGTAAAGAATTAACAAGAACCATATCAAAAATTAAGATTAACTTTTATTGATTCTTTGACTGCAAGAAATACAAAACCCACACATAGGTAATAATTTTTTTGTCTTTTATATGTTTTTTTTTATTTATTAATATAAAAGTAACTAAAATGCAAAAATTAGAAACTTATTAGGTTATGTAAGAAAACATAAATGCAAAAAAAATTAGATAAAAAAATTAACTTATTTCTCTATGAGTTATGCACACAAGATGCTCGTGCATTATGTAGATTAATATTGTAAGTTGATTTCTAACCTGTTACATAGGATTAATAGTGAGACATGGTTCAAAGAACAATAAAAACAGATATAAACAGTTATGACCCTGAAGCTGTTTAGTATAAATAACTGTAATATTCTGTTACAACATGTAGTCATTCGAGAAAGAAAAAAGTAATTTGGACTTACTTCATACTTTTTTTGTGGTGGTTACATGGTCAGTCAAGTGTACTGAGTCCTTATATTATTAGGGTAGACAAAATAAAATATAAGTTTTACTGAAAAACATGTTTCATATTCACTTAGAAGGTTATAAAAGTTATGCAAATAAAATTTTGAAAACTTTTAAGGTGAAAATATTTTTTTTATCTTAACATGAAAATCACCTTGCTCTCAGGCTAATCGGAGTCTTAGGTAGACTTTGACTTCATAAATTCACAGAAAAATCTTTAGTAAAAAATAATTAATTCAAAAATATGATTTTTTATGCAACAAAATACTTGTAATGTTTACTAGAACCTTGCCAAATTTCTGAAGATAAACTTATATTGAAAGTTATAGTATGTTTAGTTTTATGGATACATAGTGATTGCAAGGTTGGTCAAAATGGCCCAAACAACTTTGTGAGGGTTAACATACTTTAGATATCAGATTATAATTTCCTAAGTGCATTGTTTTTACACATTTTGGAAATTAAAATTTTGCAGAGTGTTTAAAATGTATTTTGGTTTTAGTTAGATATTACTTACAACAAATTCATTCTAATGTGAATTGAAGCAGTGTTTAGTATTTTTTTCCTAATAGAACTGTGTTCATAATAGAGATAAGAACATGTGATAGTCATGGAGATGTAGAACAACACATTGAAATGCTCTTAATTTTTATTTTCAGTGTTTTATATTTTATGATGATAATTACTTGTGTATAAGAGCTATTAATTTTTTTGTTTCAGTCATAAAATTACCCCAGAAGTTTTATTATTCTTTCCAGCTTTTCAATTCAGTAAACTTATATTCAAATACATAACTATACCTTCTGATGGAAAAAAAAAGGTAAACCTTAATGTACTATAATTTTTAAAAAGCTTTTCTTCCTTTACTTTATTTTATGAGGCATCTTGTATAAAACATATTCTTGACATTTTGGAAATTTTTCAAAATCCTCCTTCATCAATAAGACATGTTGATATAAACATACTTACTCAGAATAGTTACCCAGTTGTCATTTTATGAGAATTTTCTTTTTGTAGTGAATCTGTTGTCTTGTTTCCACATTTGATTTTAATAGTCATGTGTTTACTGAATTTTATTATTTTTCTCAACCTGTTTTGGTTTATTAACTAAATCATAATTGCATATTTATGCTTTACCAGATTTCCCATGTTGTTTGGTTGTAATTGAGTGGTGAGATTTATTGTTGCTTTCCTCGTATCTTTTATAGTTTACATTATTTTTTTTTCTCTGTTTTAATTAATGTTTTTTTTTTTTCAATATTTTTTTCTTATGAAAAGTTTCTATATCTAAGAATTGGTGTTTCTCAGTGGACATACTGGATCCATGCATAGTTAATTATATTGTAATGTACTTATTTTATGTGAAGTGTACAACGGTTAACCTGATTTACTGTGGCCTCAAATTTTAAACTCATTATATGTGTACTATTAAAATACCTGTTGTTTGTTGAACTTTGGACACTCCTGATAGAGGAAAATAATATTAAAAATATTGAAACTATTTAAGCCTTATCTTTTTATTTGGTCGTTCTGTTCAACAATAACCTCTGCAGCACTCAGCTCCTTGTTCTAATATAGTTATGAATAAGACACTCTGATTAACCACAAAAACAGTGTTTTTAAACTATACTACTTTTTTAAACTTGTTTATTAATTTATAGTTCTATGTTGCATGCTCTTTTTCTTGTAGTGAATTTTGTAATGCATGACAATGAAGTGCTGATTGGTTTGCTTAAGTTTTCTAAACCAGGTCCATTTTGGAGTATAACGAGGTATTTTCCTACTAGAATGTGAATTGTTCCTAGACTATCAACATTGCCAGCCTTTTTTGTTGTTTTAATTTAAATGCACTTGTACATCTAGTCCTTGAACATCCTGCTACCTCAATCTCATTGAGTGTTTCATGTTATACATATAATTGGACTTACTTATTTTTTTATATTAGGTGACCCTCAACAAAAAAAATGCTTTTACCGATTTTCATACTGACTGATTTGACTTGCAAGTTCTCTCCTGAATACCTTGTCTATTTGGGATTGTTGCTTTCTATTCAAAATAATTGGTCAGCTTCTTTTATATCTGATGACAGATTAGGGTTTTTGCTATTCATAGTAGATGTTACTTACAGGAACTAACTCAAGCAGTTGTGTGTAATTGTTGTACCATTTTCTTGACTTTCTTTTCTCCATATCACTTTGGGATTCTCAAAGTTTTGTTTAGTGATTTTGCTTACTGACTTTAATTCCCTATATTTGATGTCCTTGTTTTTCACATTTGTGATATGTACCCTTATTCTGTTAGAATCTGCTTGAGAAGTGTAGTCTGCATAGGGAATTCACTTTTGTTGGCATTCTTTTAATACAGGATATTTTTTATTTACATTATTATTATTCTTAATTTATGGGGTCTCATGACCTAAGGTGTGACTGGTTTAGTGCTGTCTCTTGGTGCTTTCTAGTTGTTAGAGATTTTTAATTATCTGAATTCTGGCAGTCTTGCAAAACCAGTGTGGAATGTGAATAAGCTGATTCTCTCAAGAGTACAGGATAGATGGAGGAACTGAACACTCATAACCAGATGTTCTCTGTTTCATACTCCAGGAAGAACCTCACAACCTGTATTATGGCTAGGGCTCTCTATGTTATGTTGCCTTTTGCCCACCTCTACCAGACCCCTTCTACTTTTCAGTATGAAAAGTCTTAATTCAGTGTCCATTCAGAAGTATAGTTAGGTATTTCAAAATCTTAATTTTTAGAATTCAAATAAAATTCATGTATTTTTTACCTCTGACTGGACATATTTTGTACTGTCCTCCTCACATCTGGTTTATTAAGCTTGTATATTTATGTAAACACTTGGTATCACTGGAGAAATACCGCATATCTCACAAAAATTGTTAAATGATACTTCACAAGGTAATTCATGGAATGATGAAAAGCTTAGAATGGTTTACAATAATAGTACATTAAGGTATTAGCACACTGACAATTCATACATTTTATCTGAATTCTATTTCTAAATACTAAAAATGAAAATGTTGATGACATCAGTTTAACTTGATTTTCTCTTTATATATTTAATTTTCTTATCATTTATGTTATATAGCATGCAGTTCGCAAGGTCAGGTCTCTGCCTAGTGTTGATGGTAATATAAAGCGTCGTCTAGCACAATTTAGTACTCAAAAGGATTTGGAGACTTTAGGAAAAGAAGTTCCTGGCTACATCTGACAAGTTAAGATTTGTTTTCTGCAAAAGCAAGTACTTTATAAAGTGTGATGATTATGTCTTGATAAAATATTTTTATGTAAATACATATACGTGTATAAATAAAATAAGTCTTTGTGAAGCTTATCTTGGTCACTTTTTGAATTTTGTTTAATGCTTTAAGTTATTTCTTCATTAAAAATCTGTATTAAGATTCAATTTCCAGCAATGGGTGCAATATAAATAAGTTGAAAACAGGCATGGGATCAAGTACTTGAATACTTAAGTATATCAAGTGCTGTACTTGTACTTTACTTGACATGTTGCAAAAGCCAATTACTTGTATTTTACTCAACTTTCAAAGTACTTAGACTTAACAAATGTTTTTACAAGTACATCCTAAAAATTGGGATCTGGATACTTCAGTAATGTGTAATCAGTGGTCAAGAAGACCCCTGTTGGTTTTGCATCAAACTACTATTATTTCACCACAGTGCCCTCCCAACACCCCACTGTATTATGTCCAGACAATACTGCTATACTACTGCTCTTTGCTTTGCTTTGTCCACTAATTAGTGTCACATAATGCCAGAAGCAGGATGTGCCATATATAGCAGGAGATGGCATACTGAGTTCTTTAGTACGGGGTAAGAAGCATGTTACAGTATCATCAACCCAATCTACCAGAACAATGAGGCTGTGTCATATCCAGTCAATGTCTCGGTATTCCACTGCTTCAAATATTTTATTGTAGCCAATATAACACCTGATACACACTGCTTTGAAACTTGCTAGTGGCTTTGGAGTGACACTGTTCCAGAAGAACCGAAGTGAAACCTCCAATCATGACATAGAACAAATTCATTGGTCAGGATATTGTCATTTGAGCCACCTAAGATCTGATATTTCAACTATAAAGCTTGAAATGGTAGAGATATATTATAATAACTCCATTTCTCTCACAAGTAAAAAGTTTACTCTGCAATCATGACAATAAAAATCTCTAGTGTTCAACCATTTTTATAGTACCAGAAAATATGAAGGGGAAGTACATGGTTCAATGCAAACATTCTACAACTGAAGTCAAAGCCAGCAACAAAGCAAATACCAACTTGTGGAAGCATATGAAGGTAATGTATATGCATATCATTGTAACAAGTTTTTCATGGTTAATATTTTATGTTCTGTAATTCATCATTCCTTTAATGAGAAAAAATGTATACCATATTGGCAATGTTTGTATGTTCAATAGTGGTCGTGTATCATAAGGTGAATAGGATAAGTGTTCAATTGTTCGTATTACTCAGCAATAATCTGAACCTGATAGTTATAGCTTAATTATAAAGGTTCATTATTGCTATGAAATGGTGATTCAATGCATGACTATGGTTACTATTTGATGAAAATGTGCAACTTTGTTTCACATATGAACTGCATAGGACACTATGGGAAATTCTGCATTTATCTAATTCGTATTGAAGTTAAAGCCATTGTATTTTGAGGATATCTCTGTTCAATGTCAATGTTAATATAATATCAAATATTCATTGAACTACTAATATCATCTATTTCCAGACTCATACAAATGTTAACAGCTTTTTTAAACAATATAATAAGTTTGCAGCAACCAATCCATAACAGTGTCAGTCAAACAATGACCTTGTGTCATTTACTGCAGGTGATACCATATCATTCTCTGTGGTAGAGAGCCTATGCTTCAGGAAGTTCATCTTGGGCCTGGAACCTTGCTTTCAGTTGCCTAGCAGGAAACTTGTCTTTAGTGCTTCTCTACAATGTAAGTAACTCAATTTGCATTGAGATCAAGTGTTGCCTTGAAACAGCAGATAGTGTATGTGTTACAATTGATCTATGGAATAATAGACAAATGGACATTGCATTACTGACTGGAGCATGCATTCATTCATGTTAGCATACAATAGGTTTACCAGATGACACACAGAGGAAGCCATATATTGCAGCAATATATTGAAGTGATGGAATCTTTTGGCATTTTGGATAAAATTTCTGCAGTTGTCACTGACAATGCTTCCAACATGATGTGGGCATTCTCTCTTCTCAGATTCACGGATGCCAACTCTGGTCAGGATGAAGATAGCAATTCTAATGATGATGATTATGAGGATGTGGAACATGTAGAAGTTTGTGCACCAGAACTCCCTCAGCATACATCATGTTTTGCACAGTCTTCAAGGGGGTTACACAGAAAAACAATATTATCTCCAAGGCCTCTATTGTAGTCAGTCATGTTTGGAAATCAACAGTAGCCACAGAAGTGCATCAAAGTTGAATGGGTATTTAACTCTTTCAACACTACCAGAGGATTCAGACCCACTGTCTTTCTGGAAAGTACACAGGAACAGTTCCCTACCTTTGTTAAAATTGTTCCCAAATATCTAACAATACAAGCCAGTTCAGCACCAGTATAGTGACTGTTCAGTTCTGCAGGGAAAGTGTTTTGCTCAGATAGGTGTAATATGACACAAGAAATGTGAAATGATCATGTTTGTGCATCCAAATCAAAAGTAAATTTATTGTAAATAAAGTTATTTCATTGGAGTTTTGTTTTTAACAATTACTCTGTTCCTCAATTTGCATACATAAATATAATACTCTTAAGACAGACCTCGACAAATTCTAGACATCAGGTCGCCATAGTAACTAAAAATTTCATTGTGGCGCCTACTGTTTTCTCCCATTTTATTTGTGCATAGGACTGTGCTAAATAGAACTCAAATTTAGAACAGTTCCTGACTCTTGGAAGTCCAGAACTATTTTTGTGTTCTTTGCGTCCTAAATCGAACTTTGTTTCTAGGATTTTAATGGTGGAGTCAGCACTTCATGTTTTTTTCAGGAATGAAGTGCTGTAGTTGCACAACAGATTAGTAATTTTGCAACATTTTATTTTTCTTTCTCACAATTCAACCAATCTGTGCTCGTGTTCAGACTCAGACGGGACCAAAGGCAGTTAGTTCAGGCAATACTATCAAGTAGTTGTTTATATCATGTGATTGTTAGCATGCACTTGTTACTGTGAAAGTAAATAAATATACATTTCCCAGTACAAATAGTAGTGAAGTTAGGCACTTATGGCTCCCGAATGGTTTGGCTGGCTACTAGATCTGAAAATATTTGTAGAGGGCTATCTTTAAGATATAATGACCAGATGTGTTATATTTGTGTAGTATTTGATATACTATATCATATTATGCCCACTGCTAAAACGTGTTATTATCCTTGAAAGTACACTTAACGTCAAACAAGTAAGTTCGAGCTCCACTACATATACTTTCTGTAACCCAAACTCAAGTTCAGTTATTTCAAACGAGGCTTTTAGTAAAATACTTATCGTTCATATAAAGTCAGTAATATGAAATTACTTGTATTTGTACTTGTGATGAAAGTACTTGCACTTGCATGCTCTCCAGGATGAGTACTTGTACTTTGCTGATTTTTATGAAGCATGTTAATTCTTATCGTTTCGACAACGGAATAATAAAACTTAACTACTAATTATTTATTTCACAGAAATTCATCCTAAAATGAGATTTGTCCATAAATGTTTCTGTAAATTAAACTATCATGTTATATGGATCGAATAATTACAAAAATCGTTGCAAATGTGTTGTCTGTATTTTCTCGTATTTTACAAGAGCGATTGCATAATTTCTCAATCAACAAGTAAACTTACGCTGAAGAATACAAAACTTAAATTAGTTTGTTCGTTTCAGTTTTATCGTCCATATAATACTTACGGAAATTGCTTTTATGGGTGAGTTATGTCATATGGCAAGTAGCAAGAAAGAGAGAGTTACTCAGTTTTGATAAGGTTCAAAAGAAAATAAAAAAAAAATATTTTGTAGTTACTTTTGTTAACATTACAAAATGAAACGCAATTTCGTAGAGGGAAAAGCCACAAATTGCCATGAAAAATATTTGAAGAAGGACTGGTATCTAGAAATTAATTAAAAGTACGAGAAAATCAGTCTATGAAACGTTGAAAAAGTCAGAGTGGATTGAAGAAGACCGATGGACTATAAAAGTAATTAAATGTTACTGTTATAACCATATTGTAGATAGGCACAGCCCACTTTATTTCTTCAGTTTTTATTTAATCTAAATACATGTACTAGTAATGTCTGTTGTCTGTCCATGTAATTACTTCGCAGGGTATGGATGAATCTTCACCAAAATTGGTATGGAGGGGTACATATAAATTTTCAGTTTTGCAGTTTTTGTGTTTTTTTTTTTTTTTGTAATGTCCAAAGAGGAATTTTCATTAATTATGAATTTACATAACTTCCGATCAGGGGACGGGTACTCCAGCTAGGATTAAACACACCAAAACTTATTTCTTAGAATGGGTTCATTTGTTGTAACAAACTACAATTTATTTCGTATGCTGTTAGTGTGTTTTAACACACCAAAACTTATTTCTCATCATGTGCTTGCGTATTTTAGCAGTTAAATTTTTTCCATTACTTAACATGTAAAAATCTAATTTGTGACTTTCAGTGTTAATCAGCTAATGTTTTTTAATTATTCTTCAATTCTTTTTATATAATTGCTATCTTCTAATTTCAATTTTTGAAATTAATGTAACAAGTTTATAAACCTACTCACATATCCGTAATATGTCAACAAGTTAATCTTTCCTATTTACTAAGTATTCGTACCTACAGACTTGGTATCGGTCATTTTAATTTTGTATATTTTTCATTCTATGTAATTTTTATTCGGAAAATCAAAGCGAATTGCTGGTTAACTTTAGGTCTTGAAGGTGTTTTTCACAAGTCGGTTTCTATCAAAAAAGAACTGCATTTTTTATACAATTCTATTTTTTTTTAATTTATTATCTGAGTTTGAATCGAGGGTTCCCTTTCTTTATTTTCTGTTATATTCAGTGTTGATAATAGCGACACAGAATATATATTTCACAGGTTCTTCTGTCACATTCAGACTTAATAAGAAGAGCACCAAACAAACGCTGGAACATCAGAATTGTCAAAAGAGCTATTACGTGGCCTCAAGTATTTAAATACTTTATAAACATACCTGATCAGTAGCGTAAGTATGCCCCTGCAATTGTAGGGTAGAACAAAAAGGTAGACCGAATCAGCCACAATCGT